TGCTTAAAGAAAGAGCTTTGGGACCATAAGATACAGAAGTGAGTGAGATTTGCCTATGTTGTCTCTGCAAGGCCCCTGCCGTTCATGTAGTGGCAGGGAAGACGATAGTAGGGTCTTGTATTTTGATTCTGCTCCTGTTGCTATCAGAATAATTCAGCCATTTTCCTCAGGTCACCTCTGCCACGAGCAAGGTTAAATTGCCTTTACATACATCACCTAGGTAGCGCTCCATCCACTTAATGATGTCAATACCTCGTACTGTGTCCTCAAATATATCAATCTGCAAGAGAATGAAAGTCTGTGGTGAGCATCCTTTCACCTTTCCTCCCCATTTGGTGGCACTGACAAGGCGCCTGTTCTTTTCCCTGGTTTCTAGCGTGCATGCCTAATTCCCATAGGAAAGAAATGTGTGCATGCACAACTTCTCTCCTTTCCCTGCAGTCCAGAGTCGAGCCGGACAGGCACCCCAGGCAGGCAGAGGGGGGCTGCTGCGGGCTCCCAACTCCCAGCCGTTTTTTCGCTGAATGTTAGATATGTGATGTTTGCAAAATGGCTTTGTTGCCTCTCTAAACGCCTCAGGAAGGTGGATGGCTGCCCCCCTTCTCTATCTGTATAGCTGCAAATGTCCACTATTTTCTGTCTGCAAGTGCAAATACTGAGTGTCAAGTTTTATCTTCATATTGAAGTAAATTTTCAGGGTGCATGGTGGGAAGTCAGCCAGGTCACCGATACTGGATGCAGTAACCCAGACTTCAGTCACAGCAGAGAGGTGGAGGACTTCATAGGACTGGATGTGACCAACACCGATCGCTTCCCTGCATGCTTGGTGAGCCCAGAAACTGGCAGTCAATGATGGTGACCAATGGAATAAGTATTAGCTTCTCCAAGCTTTTGATAAAAGAGTCAGGTTCTGCTGTCAACTCTTTCTTTTTCCCTTTTTGAAGGTGGCGAGCATATTTGTTTCCCCGTTTTGGGGCCATTTTGCTGTATTTATTATTCTGCAGCAAGCTCCGAGAATTGCCTGTCCAGCAAAAGTGCTATTAATGAGCCTTCTACTCCATACCTCTACGGTGCCCAAAGCTTTACTATGAATTGTTCATAGTACAGAACTGCTGGAGAGAAGTATAATTGAAGTCTCTGGAAAAAATCTTTGATTCATGAAAATAAATAAGCGTGTGCAAAGCCCCCCACTGAGTCTCATTCAGTTTAATGATAGCCACTTGCTTGAACGCTTTCCTGAATTGAAGCCAAAGAGTGAAGGTTGAGGGGTCAGATAGCATATGTACTTGAAATAGGAAAATATGAATCAAAATTTTGATGAACACTGAATCCCCGAGCCTCTGTGGATGGTTCCCTTAGAGAGGGCCGTTATGATGAAGCAAATTCACGAGAAGTTAAATGAAAATCTGGATGGCTTATGGGGTTAGACAGAGGGACACAGACCTTTTCAGGCCAGTGATTTTAGAATCCCTTTTAAAAGAAGTATAACAAAGCAAATGAAACCATGAGATGGGCTGTTTCATTAAGCTGTGTGAAATACACTGATTTTAGATCATTTTTTAGCAGAAAGGTATTCACATCTGAGGAACCAGCAATGTAATACCATTGCAGAAAAAAAAGCTGGGATGGGATGAACATGAAAATTGACCTTTTTTAGTATTGATATTATAGATCAAATATGACACAATGTTAATGGAATAGCTCACAAAACCTCATAGTATTGCCCATCTGGTGTCACTAAATGAAATTTTCCAGGGTAATTATTAAAACACATTTCAAAGCATAAAATTCAGTTGAAATACGAGCAAACGAAAAGGCAAATCATTTCAGTTACAACTTTTAAAAACAAGGCTAGTTCATTCTATTTGTATCTTCTTTAACCTACACGTGTGATGATAAACAGAAAAACATTTAAATGGACAGTGTATCACCTCTACTTTTTAAAAAAAAGTCTGTTTTCTCCCCTGGTTGAAAGTCATTTTCTCTGGAAAGAATACTTACAGCAGTTTGAAATCCATTTACAAGCAGGAAGTTCACAAATTTCATAACCTCCACTGCTGTGTCCACTGAATAGGTTATGAAGACCTTGCCTAGGAGAGAGAGTCCATATGAATATGTGATGCATTAAAATACACCATTCAGAGGGTGGGACTTTCACAGCCCTCCTTTTCCACCGCGCTGCAGGTTCTGCCCACCTACGTCTCTTCGGATTATTTGGGTGGATGCGGGATAGCGCAGTGGCTTGGTGTCGAGCTCAACCCCTGTTCAGAAGCCTTGCTCTAGATTTAAGCTCCTACTGCCGTGCCGCTGGCAAGTGCCGCTGGCAAGCGACCCTGCGGAAGCCGCACAGGGTAACATCACCCTGCCGCTCGCCCTGCCCTGCTGCCAGAGCTGCTTCTTCCCCAGACCTTTGGCGTACGTGAGGTTGGGCCCTCACCCAGCGCTCATGCCACCGGCACCATCTGCAACCAGCACAGCTTTCCCCCAGACCTCATTGCTTTGACTGAGGGCTGGAGGAGCCCTTATGCATGCTGTGCTGCCTCACCTTATAGCAGCGTTAACCCCCTGTGCAGGCAGGATGGATGGCTGATGACAGCAGTGTCTTCAGCTGTCCTTGCCATTGTGGAAGGAGTTGTTTTACTAAGGAAAGAATCATGGATTTGCAGGTCAGGGTAAACCAGCTGGCTAATCTAATCCAGCTGTGCATGTATCACAAATGACACAATTTTATCCAGTAATTCCTGTATCTAGGACACACTAGCTGATAAAGTAGGGTCTATCCAAGAGGGGTGTCCGGTGTCATAACTCCCTCCTACAGGCTGGAGGGATGCAGCTCTGTGGATTTGAAAGGTGATGCGCAAAAGGAAGAATAAAGGAAAACTCAAAACCTCAGGAGAGATGCGGAAGGTTCTTAGCAATGGTCTATCTATCTCACCTGCTAGGCAGCACAGCATTGAGAAGGAAGGCAGTTTCCTGAAGCCTGGCTTTCCCGTACGAGTTGAAGGGTGAAAGCGTTTTAGGG